TGCTGCCCTCTGGTGGCAAATATCAGAGCGATCTGGAGAGCAGGAAGCTGGGAGAGGTTACCTTCAAAGTAAGACAATTTGGGTTTTCTTGCTTTCTTGATGACCTCTGAGAATATCTTTTCAACTTTTCAAAAAGAGGAGGACAGGGGAATACCCTGAGGTGCCTAAAGCGGGATGATGTCTTCCTTGTGTGGGAGGTTGCCCAGAAAAGCTGTGGTCGGCTTGCTTGCCCAGAAGGTTGGGGAGGCTTGCCGCAGCCATGGATCACTGGGCAGGCCAGACAGCAGACAAAGACAAGGGAGAGGAAGAGACATGCATGAAATGGGGGGTAGATGTTGGAGCTGTGGCTGGTTTCCCTGGACATTCAACTGGGGCATGGGTGGTGTTCTGAATTCCTCCAGCAGTCCCTGTGGTATTCCCTGTCTTTGCTGGCCTGCCTTATCGCCACTGGACACAGAAACCACAGGCCACATCAGAGCCAGGCCGGAATCAACACTTCCTGTTTTTGTCTGAGAACTACCGGCAGTTTGCCATGAGCCCTCTCCAGGCTGGTAGAGGTCTTGGTCAGGGGTTGCTTCCTCCAGGACTAGGTGGGCTCTCCCTTTGGAGTAGCCCCGAAATTGGCCACACAGCCCTCTAGCATAGTGTGCTTAGACCAGCAGGCAGTTTCAGCTGGGTTTGTGACTCCCTCGTAGCCTGGGAGTTTCTGGAGGGGTCATTCCCAGCAACCAGCACGGTGTGCGACATGGAGCAAATGCTTCCTAATGAGACAGTGGCTGGGTGGATGAACCGTGGACTCTGGCCGTGAGGACGGGACGGCACCTCACCAGACCTGCGTTCCCCACGGTGTTCGCTGCAGGCCTCTGCACGCAGTGGTAGCTCAGTAAGTGGGTGCAGAGAGCGTGCTCTGAGGGTGCTCCAGACGAAGATTAATTCACGGTGTTTGAGTACCTCACAGGTGTTGTCCTAGGTTCTGGGAGGTTTTTACAAAGGAGTGTAAGACATGGTCCCTGGCTCCTAGGAGCACATCTTGTTGGATATTCAAGTCAGGGGCGCCTGGGTGGCTCAGTCGGTTGGGCGTCCGACTTCGGCTCAGGTCTCGATCTCGCGGTCCGTGAGTTCGAGCCCCGCGTCGGACTCTGGGCTGATGGCTCAGAGCCTGGAGCCTGCTTCCCATTCTGTGTCTCCCTCTCTCTCTGCCCCTCCCCCGCTCATGCTCTGTCTCTCTCTGTCTCAAAAATAAATAAAACGTTAAAAAAAATTTTTTTAAAAATGTAAATTGTGGAGAACAAGTCATATGATAACTCAGGGCCAAGGTGAGCTGTCTGGATGGGTGTTAGAGTTGCTAGAAGGCTGGCTCCATGGGCTTGCCACATGTGAGTTACACAGAGCCCTGTGCTGGGGTTTGATGCTCTGGTCTTGCTATCTTGACATTTTTAATTTTTGAATAGAGGGTCCTGCGTCTTTCTTTTGGCCCGGGCCTTGCAGTTATGTAGCTGGTCCTGATGTGGTGTCCAAGCTGACCAGGAAAAGCTCGCGGTAGAGGGTTTGGCCGGGCAGAGAGCTGGGCCAGAACTCATGAGGATGTGGCCATCCTGGCGTCAAGCCTGGTGTGGCGCTGCGGACTGCTCAGGAAACTGGAGGAGGAAGGGGTCGGGGGCGTGGCATTTGGAACTCAAGCTGTGCCCCACTTTGAGGAAGCAGTGGTTCTGGAGGTGGAGCCTGCATGGGGGCCTGGGCTGCCTGTGTGCCCCAGTGCCCTTGCATGCCTCCCCAGGGGGGCCCAGGTGAGCCACATGGAAAGGTGGCCTGGCCTTGCTTTGCTGCACTAGAGTCCTTCTCCTTTCTGGAATGTGGTAGGTGGATATCTCATAGGGCTGCTGAGAAGGCCCAAGGAGAAAAAGGATGAACAACAGCTGTGTAATCAGCATCTTCCCTGGGCAGAGCCCAGTGTCTGGCATCGGAGGACCCTTGTTTGGTGTTTGGTGAAGTGTTGGGGCCCAGAGCCTATTCTTAGTGGTCCAGCTAATAATCGTCTGTTGGTGGACAGCGTCTAAGCCATCCAGGAAGCATAGCCCAGGGTTTGTTCTCCAGGGACACATGGTCTCTATAGAAGAGGAGATATTTACACAAAGTCTCTCCCCCCTTCTGCTCCCTGACACACTAGGGCTCGAAGTCCACTTCTCCCTCTACTGATTGTCTGTGTCTCCTAAACAAATTTCTCGACCTGTCTGGGCCCCTGCAGCACAGCATGGCTGGCAGGGTGGACATAAAGTGTGCAGGGCAAGGGCCCGGGTCAGTGCCTGGCATGCCATGAAGGGACATCGTTACTGTTCCTAGGAATCCATTCTGTGCTTTGGGAGGTCAGAGAACCAAGGGGACACCTGGACCAGCAGGGCCGGGGAGGAGGTACTCGTCCTGGAACCACAGATGGGACAGAGAGAGCAGGGGGAGGATGCGTGTGTGGTGTGTTTAGAGTGAGCGGAAGGTGAAGCCTGAAACTCATGTTGCATCACAGAGAACCCCATGCCCTGTGGCCCCATGCTGTTGTGCCTTTGCGTTGCCAGGCTGGTGGAGGGGCTCTTGCAGCTGACTTCTTACACTGGGCCCGCCTCATGAGGCCCCGCGGCGTGCTGATCTGGGGCCAAGCAGGGTTCAGGGCTCCCAGGGAGAGAGGCCTGGCCTCTGCTCTCCCCGGCCCTGGTATGCACCCTCTTACTGGGACTCTCCTCCTCTGTTCTGTCTGTCGGTGTCTGGTGTCCCTGTCCAGTCTTCCTTCTCTCTCTGTAACACAGGGAAAGGTGGGACTAAGCGCTGGTATAGTGGCACTCGCCCACTCTCTCCTACTCTCCTCAGCAGAAACGCTGTCAGGCTCAGCTGTTGGAGCAGTGTGATGAGTGACCGTGGGCAAATTTCTTCACCCCTCTGGTCCTCAGTTTCCTCAGGAGTACAGTTGGTATAACTTGGCGTTGTCAGGAGGTGAGGCCGTGCTGGAAAGGGTCGATAGTCGCTCTCTGCTGACGACACGCCAGGGCAGGGTGCTTGCTGTGTGTCCCCCTGAGTGCTGGCAGAACCAGCTGTGCGTGTCAGGAAACTGTCCTCAGAGGTGAAGTGCACCTGAGTGCCTGGCTGCTGGTTCCTTGCGTAGTGAACAAGAAGTGTGGGGGCACCTGGGTGGCTCAGTCGGTTAAGCGTCCGACTTAGGTTCAGGTCATGATCTCACGATTTGTGAGTTCTAGCCCCGCATTGGGCTCTGTGCTGACAGCCCAGAGCCTGGAGCCTGCTTCAGATTCTGTGCCTCTCTCTCTCTCTCTCTCTCTCTCTCTCTCTCTCTGCCCCTCCCCCACTCACACTGTCTCTCTCTCCTTCAAAAATAAATACACGTTAAAAAAATTAAAAAAAAAAAAAAGAAGTGTGGACAGGGTGGCTGTCCCTTTAGGTAGTCCTGTGGAATGTGGGGGACACAGGTGGGCACAGGGAGGCCTGTCCACCACCTTGGATACAGTGGGCTGTGGGGTTGTGGGTGGTTTGTGCAAAGTACGGACAGGCCAGATCTTGTGAATATTAAGGGTGCTGACGTTTACCATGCACTCACCATGCCCTGGTATCCTGAGTAGGTATGCGCTCGGCACCCCCGGCTTGCAGAAGCAGAAAGAGAGCTTCAGCATCTCTCTGGATGTGCCTTCTAGACAGCCCGGCTCCAGAGCCCCACAGCCTCGAGCTGGGCACTTTCCAACTCTCCCTGCACCCCAGTGGAATCATGGGGGCCTGGACCACAGGGATCTTGACTGGCCCCCCATCTGCCATCTTCCCTAAATGGAGACCCTACTGTGACCCTTTAATTCCATATGTATGGACCTGGTTAATCCGATGAACCCATCCTGAGACTTTAAGACCTAGCTTTCTGGTTTTAGGACTGTGACGGCATCCCGCAAAGGTGACACTATTGACAGGTATTTGGGAAACGCCAGTTTTCCTTCCTTCTCAGTGCACTTGTCCCAGTTTATTCACAACGTGGTAAACATATGGTTGTCATCCTGGCCTCACTGGATAGAAAAAAAGTCAGTAGTCTAGAATTTGGGTACGTTTCAAATATATTTTATTACTTTTCTTTTTGTCTTAGAAAGAATATGAAACCTGCATGCAATGCTAATGGTTTCTGACACGTGCATAGCATATGACACAGCAGTACAACGAGGCATATACCAAAGGGGCAGTGTGCGGAGGGGGCGTTCTTAAGAGTCTATGTACAAAGGAAAGGGCGTGGGGTCGCCGTAGCTTTCAAGGGAGGACTGTGCTGTTTAACGTTGAAGAATTACACGGGGCGTTACAGGTAGAATGCTTCCGTACCGCGTGTTCTGCCACCAGGAGGGAAAGAAACATGCTTTGAAGGTTCTCCATCATCAATAGTGTGTCTGTAGCCGTGTACTGTGTGTGGATTGGTCTCTTTTTAAGTGTTGTTGTAAGGTTTCGCTAACGGTGTTGGGAACTTCGCGTGCTTCCAAAGCAGTAAATACTGAAGCAGTGAACCTTTCACAAGAAGGAGAGAAGACCCAACCCCTTCCTTAAGGGCCCCGTGCTTTGCCATCCCAGAATCTTGGAAATGTTTCCTAGAATACGTAAAAGTTAGCCGGGGTGGGGGGGGGGGTGAAGCACATTTCTGTAGCAGACAAACTTGAGTCCCTCACACAACAGATGCAGAGAGATTGGCTTCTGCTTGCCCGGTGACAGGGTCCACTGTGGCGTCCCCCCAAGGCTGTGACCAACCGTGAGCCCAGGAGAGCCCGTGGCAGCTGTGTGGAGGCGCCAGGACCTCTGAGCGGAAGCGTCCCGCATTAGCAACGGAGCAACGCTGCTATGAAATGTTTCAACCAAGCTCTGTGTTCCTCCCAGGCGCTTATAAAGCTCAGATGTAGTGATGTCTGGACAAATACAAAAAAGCATTTTTTTTTTTACAAAGGAAAGGCATGAGTTTCCCCCCCTTTCGGTA